TATGAGTGAATCACACAAAATGTGAAGTGGGATCTTTTTTTTTTTTTTTTATAATAAATTTCAACCACTAATAAAAAATAAGTTCAGATAATAATGTTTGAGACAATCTTACTAACATTTTTTTTTAATAATAGTAATCATCAGCAACCACATATCGAATATTTGTACCTCATTTGATACCCATATTTATGTGTTCATAGTTGTTGATAAGCCATCTCCAAGCCAGAAGGCACCAGACGAGGAACGTGTGGAAGAAGATGTATCAAGCCAGAAGGCACAAGACAAGGAAAGTGTGGAAGAAAATGTATCAATTGATGAAATGTTTGAGAGTTTGAAGTTTGAGCTAGACAATATGAAGACCAAGTTTTCCACAGTGAAGCAAAATGAAGAACTCCACAACACTTTAAGAGCCGTGGAAGATCTTCTTCGAAACTTCAACGAAAGAATTTTGGCTGAGGCAGATACAAATAAAAGTGAAACAAAAGGTTTAGAGCTACAAAACCAAAAATCAAGGGAGGAGTTGGTGGGTCTGCAAAAAGCCTCAGGTATTTTATCCCTACTAAACACATCAATGTCTTACATATTTCTAATAAGAATGATGATATATGTATAACTGTTCATATAATAATTCATACAAGATTATTATTATTATTATTATTATATATATATATATATATATATTTTGTGTGTTTATCTCGCTTTACTTCATCATTTATTATATTTCAAATTTCTTTCTCTTTTTATCTCTTAATTATAAAATTTATTACATAATTTGTTGCACAAGTATCATTAATTTCCATAGGAATAATCATTAAATTGTAATTAATTCTCACATCAAATTCATGCGTCTCATTCAACACATTTTATTTGTGCTAAAAGATAAGCCATCTCCAAGCCAAGAGGCACCAGACAAGGTTGTGGAAAAAGATGAACCCGTTGATGAAAAGTTGGAGAGATTGAAGTCTGAGATCGATAACATGAAGGCAAAGTTTTCCTCATGGAAGAAAAATGAAGGACTCTGGAACATGTTAGGTGCCCAGCTGGAAGATGTTCTTCAAATCTCCAACACAAAAAGTTTGGATGAAGATGACAAGCATAAAGTTTCTAAGGAGGAGTTGCTGGATAGTGTCGTGAACGCCATTCATAAAAGGATTAAGGACTCAACTAAAAAGCTTGGTGTTAGTCAAAGTGATGAAGTAGTTGATAACTCATCAAGCCAAGCCAAAGCATCTAAACCAGTGCAACACCCCACACTATCTTTATTAAGCCAAAACAATGACGTGAATCTAGTCTTGAAAAGGTTCCAGGCTAGTTATGATGCCCTTAATCTACATTCAAAACTTTGCTGCTTGTCCCTTTCAGTTTTCCCTGAAAATGTTGTTATAAGGAAAAGACATATAATTAACTGGTGGATTGGAGAAGGTTTTGTAAAAGATACAACAGAGAAAACAGCTGAAGAAGAAGGTGAGGATGTTTTTGACGAGCTGCTGAATTCATATCTGATTGTATCACATGGTAATAGCAAGTGTCCCATTGTGAATAAATTTAAAATTAGTCCTTGGATCCGTCACATGTTGGTATCATCAGTACTGCTAGGAGAAAATAATCAGCCTTTTGAAAAAATTTCACAAGTAATAACCTCTTCGCATCACAATAATAGTCCTGCTTATTTAGTACTTGACCAAAAAAAAGTTAAAATAAGTGGTGAGTTTGATGACAAATTTGACCACTGGAGAAGTGTTTTTAATGTTGGTGCGAGTTATCTAAATGTTGAACCTCAATGGATGACTAAAATGAAGAAGATGGTGGTGCTTCAGCTTGGTCGTTGGCACGAATCACCTTTTCATCACATTGAAGTGGATAGTATAAATTTCATGAAAGACTTGAAGGGTCAAAAACATTTAAAGTATCTAAGCCTTCGTGGTATATCAAGAATAACCGAGCTGCCACCCTCCATTGCTCAACTTGTCAGCCTACAAATTCTTGATCTCAAGGCTTGTCATAACCTCGAAACTCTTCCTGTTGAAATTGCATTATTGAAAAAGCTCACACACTTGGATGCATCTCAGTGTTACTTGTTGGAGAGCATGCCAAAAGGGATTGAGAAGCTCTCTGAGCTCCAAGTACTCAAGGGATTTGTAGTAGGCAATTCTAACAAGAGTCCTAGAATATCAGATCTTGCAGAATTAAAAAAATTAAAACGACTGAGCATACATATTGGAAGTGAAGCTGTGGTCCAAGCTGAGGATTTTGACAGCTTAAAAGATTTGGAGGAAGTTAAATGTCTCAAAATATCATGGGGTGTGTCGTCTAACTTGAGGTCCATGCATAATGTGATCAGTCTTCCACCAAGATTGGAAAAGTTGGACCTTCAATGCTTTCCTAGGAAAGAAATTAATATTCCACCGTTACATACTTTGAGGAAGCTATATATAAAGGGAGGAAAACTCACAAGTTTCCCTTTCTATATGTTTAGAAAAGTTGAGATCCTGCGTCTCAAGTACCTAAATGATATGGACGTTAAACCCAAAGATTTGCCACAAATATTTCCATCACTGCAGTACGCAGAAGGGAAACAAGTCTCCAAACAGTCCTTTGAATGGCCGAATAGTGTTGAAGACCAAGTCATAAAGTGTTGAATATATGTTATTTGAAGAGAAATTTAATTTACGTAGGTGAATTTATTACACACATGTTTCCAAATCTTCTATGTATCAACATTCTTTGTCATTGTCTAATTATATACTAGGACACATGTATTTACTTATCACCTTATTTATAATACATTTTTTATTTAACTTTAAAATTTATTATTTGTTATATTATTAGTTTAGAAACAATTTTTCCTTAAAATTGTAGTATATATTAGTCTGCTATTATATTTTATTATTAGATTATTGTTATATTATTAGTGTAGAAACAATTTTATATTTTATTAATGTTTATATATATATATATATATATATATATATATATATATATATTCAATATTATTTTATTTTATTTATCTCAAAATTATAATAATTTAATTACATATTTAAATATAGTAATATTTCTTTGTTATTAAAAGATAGTGATACTAACAGGTTGGACAATTTGTCAAGAATCTCTTACCTGGTTTATTTAATGTTTGGCTTATAAAAAAATTGACAAGCTCAAGTTTTTAAAAAGCTTTTTTTAACTAAACGTAGGCTTCCAGATTTTCTTGTTAGGCTACATATAATATAATATTAAATATCTTATATTTAACTGGAATTATCCAGCTTTCCCCCCTCTGTCCTGCAAGATTATAAAATCCTTGCTGAGAGTGGTTTTGCTTGGAATGAAGCGGGTTAGCCCTCTCAAAAGGCTAAAGCTCATACTCAAGAGAAATCTCCGGTGTCTTAACCCAGAACTAGAACAAGGGCCGCAAAATCCTCTAAATTCTCCTGAGTTAAAGTTGTTGTCTTATACTGCGTGCTGCTGGATTTTGCTGCTGTATGGCTTGTTTTGTTAATGGTCCACTTTCAGCTGCTATTGTTTTGAGTGTTTGAGAGGATTCTACTTGATCCATTCTTGTTAGCTATGTTTGGTCTTATGTCTTTAGATAGGTGATGCATGCTTGTGAATTTTTGTTGTTTTCTGTTTTACCTTTTCTGGATTCTCTTTCTATTTTGTTGGTGGATTTTGGTTTGGTCACCTAATTTGTACTTTTATCCTTTTTCTTTTTTCATTTTAATATTTTAGATGTGAAACATATGATTGAGGACAAAAAGATAGAAAAAAATAACAATGAAGTCGTAACCAAATTTCTTAAAATAGAAAATTTTGGAAAAATATTATTATCAAGAAAAAAGAAAACAAAAACATGTTTACAAGAATATGATTAGATTTGGGAGTCGGTTATGTATAGGAAATGGTGAAAACTAAATTCCACTACACCCCCAATACATTTCTTAAAGGGTTACCTCATAATTAATTGCATAAATTATTAATGAGTTTTAAAATTTGTTTTAGTCCTTTTATTAATACAATGAATAGACAACTAGAAGGAAGGTTCTACATTATATTTTTTAACTAAGAAAGAAGAACACTAGAAAAAGTTTATTTTGTAGGAGAATTTTTTGAAAATCAATTTTGACATTGTCAAGGACGACCCTTGCTCCTACATATCATTCAGTATCACTACAAGAAATTCATTAAATAGAGACTGATTTAGAGACCAAATTTATATAGTCACTTATTTAAATACTATTTTAGAGATTGATTATAGTTGGTCCCTAATTCAATCTCTATTGTTATTAATATTTTTAATGTAATTAGAGACCAAACTTTTAGTAGTTAATAGTTTAAAAAATATTATTTATTTAATTAGATACAACTTTTTTAGTCTCTAATTAAAATATAATTTGAGACAAAATTTTTGGTCACTATTAAAACACTTTAGAAACCAATATTTTAGTCTTAAGATGCACTAAAATTAGAGACTTTTTCTAGTTTCTAATTTAAATATTACTAGAGATTGATTTTTTGGTCACTATTAACTCAATTTAGATACCATTTTTTAGTATCTAATTGTTCTATATTAGAAACTAATGTATTAGTCTCTAATAAAAATATAACAAGAAACTAATATTTCAATCATTGTTAAATTATTTTAGACACAAAAATATTTGATCTCTAATTAAAATACACTAGTAAATAATAATTAATTTTTTATTCACTATTAGCTCATTTTAGATTTTCTTTAGTATCTAATACAGAAATATAATATACAACTAATTTTTCACTCATTGTTAATTTATTTTAGATAAATTAGACTCTAATTAAAATACACTAAAAATTGATATATTTTTTTGTCATTGTTAACTCATTTTAGAAACTGTTTTTTTTAAGTATATAATTAAAATTAATAAAATTAAAATATTAATATTATTTATATAATATTTTGTTTTATAACTATCAAAGCCTAATCTTTAAATTTATATTTTATCTAACTTATCAAAACTCAAAATTTTCTAAAGTGTATGGCATGAATATGTATTGATACCATTATTATCTAATTAATTATATACCAAAAAAACAAATTAAGAACCTAAAGCATCAAAAATCTAGCAGTGTAAGAGATGGGCTTCAAGGGCTACTGAATAATTTAATAATAATGAACAAAGGTAAACCTTTTGAAAAAAAAAATGAACCAAGACATTTTCGTTTCGAGACGAAGAGCCTCCACGAGAAACGAAACTACGCGTCGAATATAGGAGCATCCACGATTTCTTCTTGTCCAAGTGTGGAGTGTTCATCTTTAAACCCTCACCCTCACCTTTACCTTCTAATTTCGACTCTCATGTTTAGGTCGCTAAGGGTGCTTGAGCTTGTGGAATCTGTGGTGGGGGTAGAGGATGATGAGGAGGTCAATTGGATTTCGTGTTTTCCCGAGACCCAAACCAATATGGAGTCTCTTGTGTTCGATTGCGTTGAGTGTCCTATTAATTTCGAGGCTTTGGAGGCTTTGGTGGCTAGGTCACCTTCCTTGAAGAAGCTTTGTTTGAACCGATGTGTCTTCATGGCTCAGCTTTACTAGTTAATGGTTCGGGCTCCGTAGCTTACTCACCTTGGAACCGGCTCATTCAGTGCTACGGAGGGTGCGCTGGTTTCCGATCAAGAGCTGGATTATGCCGCCGCATTTGAGCTTTACTGGTTAATGATTATATTATGCCATTGTGTGTTTTGATTGTATTCTTGTGGATTTGAATTTCGATTTGGGGCTGATTGGTGTTTGGATGTTGTTCTTGTACAGGTGCTTGATTCGATATGCGATGAAGGGATTCAGGCAGTGGCTGTGGCTTGCAAGGACTTTATAAAGAGATTAACATAAGTGAGATTCAATTAGTTCTTTATGTATACAAAGTCGATTTTTGAAGTGTTAGCAAATATCAAAATATGGAGTCATGTTTTAATCAGGAAAAAATTGACTTGAGAAACGAAAATAAAAATATTTTTTTTGTCTCTATACATGTGTGTTTGATGTCAATATTGAATATATAATATTTTCTCTTATTTTGGTTGAAGGATGTGGTTTTTTTAAATACTCTCACAGAGATATGGTTCTTGCAGTTATTAATGGACTTAATGGAACCAAAACAATGAGAGTAAGAAAAAATTCTGTATTTTTTTTTTCCTTTTAATAATTCTCCTTAAGAAAGCATTTTGGTTAATCTTGTATTTTCTACATAGGGTTGTGAGCAACCACTAATTGTTCGGTTTGCTGATCCCAAAAGGCCTCGTCAAGGAAATTCCAAGTTTGTCTTGTCTAATTGATAATCTTTAAACATGAAAGAGTTGGAAATGCATATTTTATATGATGATTTCTATAATTTCCTTATTGGTAGGTGCTACTCAGAATTCAATCAGGGTTGCTTAGGTATGTACTTTCTTTACATGAAGTAAGCTGAGTCTGGAGTAGTTGTGGTGAAAGTAGCTAATCATTTGCCTCCTCCTCATAACAGTGGATGCTTCAAGTACCTGGTGCCACAAGTTACATAGGTTCCATAGGAAACGACAAATTTGGGGAGGAGATGAAGAAGAGTTTCTGGCTTTTTCCTTACTGTATCTCTTGATTCGATACAATTAGTTGCTGAACATGCAGCCAAGAATAACAAGGTTTGATATCAATAGAACTTGGCATTCCCATTTTACTAGCAGTTTTGGAGATCAAGTATTTTATTCCTGTATGCAGTTCTTCATGATGAACCTTTCTGCCCCTTTTATTTGTGAGTTCTTCAAGGATGAATAGGAGAAATTTTTGCCGTAAGGATCCTTTTCTGTTAAATTCAAATAAGGAAAAATTTACATGTTGATCTTACCGATATCCATTCCGGGATTCAGACATATGGACTACATTTTTGGAAATGAGATTGAAGCAAGAACATTTTCTAAAGTTCATGGCTGGGACAAAATCTTTGCATAACAGATTTGTAGGGTTGTAGTTTTGGTTTCAAGTTTTAATTTGTTATCTATTTTGACTCTTTTCCTATTGACTAGATTGATAATGTCGAGGAAATAGCTTTAAAGATTTCCTAGTGGCCAAAGGCATCAGGAACACACAAAAGGATTACCGTTATCACACAAGGTGCAGATCCTATTTGTCTTGCTAAGGATGGGAAAGTTAAGTTGTATCCTGTGATACTATTACCTAAAGAGAAATTAGTTGACACGAATGGAGCAGGTATAATACAACCCTATTGCTTTTAGTATTTAAATATTAAACCAAGTTATATGTGCAATTGAGTTTATGGGAATTTGGTGTGCTCATAAAATACGTGCAAGTTATAAAATTTAGAATTTGATAAAATTAATAGAGAATTCACACATATAATTCTTTTGTAATCTAAATGCTAATAAGCTTTCATGTCTTTGGTTAAATATATATTTAATCTCTCATAATTATGTCCTTACCTTGAAGAAAGGTATACCTCTCAACCTTTGGATATATATATATATATATATATAAAAGAGATGATAAAATAGGAATGAAACACTATAAGGGACTTTCAATTCATTTCATCAAGATTCAGTTCTGTACTCATTCCAATTTTGTATAGCATGTTTTTGTTTTGATTAATTATATATTTGTTTATTTTGTACTTTTTTGTGTAGAGATGACTATTTTAGAAGAAACAAAAGAATGTGATGAACAAGAAGAGTTCCAGGCACAAGATAAAGGACATGTTACATTCATGATATATGTTAAGTTTTTTATTCACTCATTTTTTTC